AATTCCCCGATCCGACTATGTTTGAATCAGTAGGCAATATTTTTGTATTCTAACCCTTTAAGAGTCGATACTATCTCAGCTTGATTTCAAATTTTTCCCTTACAAATACGGTTCAGTTTGCTTAGATCGAGAGGCAGAGCGCTGGCTTTATTTGAGAATTTATTTTTTTACGAACGAAATCTAAGCCATTTCAAAAAATGTGTATTGTATACTATACGTGTTCCATTTACTTCAGTTGATTTTAAAAAAAAACACTGGTGTATGTAAATTACATATTGAATACAGCAGCGTCATTGGTAGCCACGGTGAAGCAGAAGACATTGGTCTGTTGCCTCACAGTGGCTACCGGTGGTGCTACGGCAAATAAGCAGATAAAGAAACTCAATATAAAGATCAGTTGCAAACACTGTAAGGAAATTGTTAAGATCTGCTGACTCGACCTTTAGCTTGGTGGCTAAGAGCGATAGCCACGGAGAGGCAATGGATCAGTATCCATTTTCTTTGTATTTGTTCAATATTTCCATCAATAATAACACAATCTTTAAGTGCAATTTTTGAGTATGAACCGAAACAGCTTCTACTCATAATGATATCCCTCTGAAATTGCGATAAAAATGCCAGCTATTCCAAACATTTTGATCAAGTAAATAGTTAGTTGTCTGTTGTGGAATTTCTTAGAATTTCTTCATGACTGATCAGGCTGTACAGTTGAATTATTTAAGTCAGTAGATCAACGTCTTCGGATATGAATAACATTGCTGTTCAGCTGCGTTACAAAAGACAGTAACTTCAAACTTGTCTAATGCTTAAATTATAAATATGATTTGTAAGTTTTAATTTCATAGGTTCATTCTTGACCCATGAACACAAATGAAACAAAAAATTGTATCATATTGTACTGTACTGTACTGCGCTGTACTGAATTGTGTTATTGATGCAAAGATCAAAAAATACAAAGAAAAATTCCTTCGATCTTTCTGCACCCGCACCAGCGTCTGTTGCGTCTCCACGGCCACCGCCCTTACCTACTAAGCTACGCATCGAGGCGAATAATAATAGCAAACTAGTGCAGTTTTTCACATAAAAATATGTGCAGTTATCGTATATATTATATTCTCTCTCAAAATCTGACTGTCAGTTTATTTATATAATGAAATGTAAGTGTGTTTTATCCAGTTATCGGAATTGAGAGAGCTAATTTTATTAATTAGTATTTTTTAATGATATCAAGTGACGGGACGAACAAGTCATGTGCTTGGTGGTAAGCTACACGCCTGTCCACAACAGTTACAGTGTCACTCAGAGCTTTAAATCGCAAAGATCTGAGGGGCACTGGCACTGCGCCTGTCACCCTGAGATATAAGTTGACAAGTCCTATGTGCCTGTAATTTCACCAGCACCCTTACCTTTCAAAACCGGCAAGTAATGCTCTCATTACTGCTTGGCGGCAGAACTAGGTAAGGTGGCAGTACTTCATTGGACGAACTCTTTCACAAAGAGTTCTACTAAATCTACCTAATCTACCTAGTATGAAAGTTTACTTGATAGGTATGGACATACTCATTTCGTCATCAATGCGTATAAAATTCTTTTTTACTGTTTATTTTCTACACATTTCAAAATATAAATAAATTTTAGTAATATTTAAAATACGTAAGTATCTATAGAAACACAATTACAATATTGTTTTTTGAGACAATAATTTGTAGCAAATACATTCTTAAGAAATAATAATTTGTTGCAAATTTTGTACTCAAATTTCAATCAATAAAAAAACCGACCTCAAAAGTACGTGGAATTACGTCTATTTGCTAAGTTTTATTGAAATATTCTTATATTCGCCACTATACAGGACTTGACACTGGAAATAATAAAAATCGGTTCTCACTACTCAAAGAATATTGAGAGAGAAACACCTTGAATTGGAGAAATAGCAAAATCAACTATTAAAATAATTGCTCCATAACAAAATTTAGGCGCTATTTATAAAAATGAATCTTCATGCATGAACAGCCACCCTTAGAGGTGGATGATTTCCTTCAAAATGAAATGGGATCACTATGGAAGTACCGCCTTTCCAACAAAAACAGAATCTTGGAAATCTGTTCACAAATACCGGAGTTATCGCGTAACATACATACAAAAAAAACACGTACACATACAGTCGAATTCAGAACCTCCTCCTATTTTGAAGTCGCTTATAATGCATTTTCGTGAAAGCTCAGGATTTGTAGAAGGGAATCTCCACTTAAATAATAAAGTTTTGTTTAGTTTAATAATCTCTTACCACAGTGTATTTGTCGTAAGAGATTGTTTCTGTTCTCTATTTTGTTTGTGCTGACAATAAATTCTAGGCTACAGCACAAAGCAGCCATGTACTCTTTTCAATATTCTACAAACGAACTGACGTTTGCGAGTAAATTCAGAATATTTTTAATATCGTATGTACAGAATAAAATTAGAGTTAAGAACGTCTATAACGATGTTGCTTAGGCATTTCTGTTTTGATGTTGTTTTGTAAACTCAAATTATCCAGCTTCCTTACATTATTCGAAATTGTATTGTCGCTGCAGTATGGTAATTGGCTTGTTAAGTGTAATTGACATTTGTCCCTAAATGTCCCTAAATGAATGGTGTATCTTTAAGTACGATGAAAAACAAATTCGTAAATATGAATAAAAACTCGGTATAACGGTAATGACGCAGAAAAATCGTAAAATATTGAGACGCAAAGGAATTTTTTGTGAAAAGTGGTTGATTTAAATTCGAGGATTAAAGCCGTATTACGTTTCTTTTGCGATTAGCGGTTATTTAAAGAAGTAGAATGAATTAGGTACGTAAAGGTTATTTTTGTATAAGCTTCAAAACAGGTTACAAAGACTTTTAATATAAGCGTTATGTTCGATTACTGCCTACTTATGGCCATTACCCAGAGATGGGCAAGAGCCCGAGTTTTAACCCGACGCTATGTTTACGACGGTTTTAATCGGGTTAAACTCCATTAATGTACGAAATCGAAGGCAAAAACTATTTGCAACTAAATATACTTCCGGACACAAAATTCAAGCCACCTCGCGTTTTCATCTTGAAGGGTTAGAATTCAAAAATAGTGTTATCATCGAAGAAAAAGGTTTCCCCCGGTTTTGAAAGTCCAAATTTACAACAAGGACTTATGGAAAGGACTTTTAATATACTAGTTTCAAAATTGCGTAGGATAGTTCTTGATTAATCGAACACTGTTTAAGCTTAGAGCATTTAATACTGATGCGAGGTGGCTCAATTTATATTATGTGTCCGGGAGTGTATTTGTAAATCGAGTTTTGTTCAAATTATTGTCATGAATGATATTACATTTTGCCTTTCTATTGAATCGATTTGCTTGAAAATCGTATTGAAATAAATCGATACATAAATTCGTCAGCGTATATACTTGAATCGATTTACAAAAATTCGAATCGTAATATGTATCCCTAGTAGTAAATACGAGTCCACAGGATTGCAAAGTGTGTGTTGTGTGGACTTGCCTCTTTTTCGTCCAAAAAGTTTCTAATAAGTTTGAACCAAAGTCCATATCATTTTACGCGTACTATGTTTCTGCCCACGATTTGGGGCAGAAATGGATTAAGCCTTTGGGTAAAACCGGGTTAAAACCCGGGCGAGTTCTTTGGGTTTTAACCCACTGCTATACATTCCTTTTGTAATAAAAAGAACCTATGTCGCATCATTTTCAGATATTACAAAATTCAGCTAAATTACGTTACTTTTCAATAACATTCTCTCTGACTGAACCTGTTAATTTAAAAAGTTAAATAGGTTGTCAGTTCTCGAGAACTTAAAACTTTTAATGACGTGCTTTTCCGATACCTACTTCTTTAGCAATATTTTACTCAAAACCAATTTATCCTAAAATCAATTATTATTGGTTGGTATGCTGAGTTTTTGCCAAGGGCAAAGCAAAATTATCCTAGATTTCAGCTATGGGATATATGATCTTTGTCTGGACAGAATGGCGCCACTTATATTCTAAATATGCAATAGCAAGTTTTGAAGATTTTAAGTAAAAAGAATGTGGTTCCCGGCATCAAAAAGCGTTCTTTACCTACGATTTAAAATTCTAAGCTATTTTTGCTCCTGTTTATTTGTAATGTTTTATTTACTACACTGAGACTTCTTTATTTCAGGTTGCTTGGGTGGGTAACGCGCATGTGCAGTACATTTAAAGGGAGGGGAGTTGCTTTATCGATGACTACAAAAAGTAGGTATCACATTAGGAATTTGGGTAGAGAAAAATTCTTTCGTTGTTTTTTTTGAAACAATGCCAATATGTTTTTGTTCATTCATTTGTGGTGTAATAAGGACTATTAATATAAATTTTCAATAATTTTTAATCTGTTAATCACAGTTATATTTATGGTATATATATATATAAGGTAGGCGTCCACAGATCCGCAGCGCACGCATCGGACCGATCGCATCAAACGGCTCCGTTTGTGACAGTGCGTCCACTGTATCCGCAGCAATCGGGTTCCCGCCGACGCAACTAATAGCTATCGGATTGCTGACGCCACTTTTCGTAACGAGCGGACGAATGTAACTCGCAACGATGAGTCGTAGACCAATCCCAATGCTGTGAAGTGATTATTCTAACCAATAAGAAGCTCCCATCCACAAGAAATTTTAGCGTTTTCTGAGTAAATCTCAGTAATTGGTCAAAAAAGGATAATTTTAGGTGGGTTCATTATATTTGAAAAATAGCGATATGTATTAATGGCATATTCTAAATGACACACATTATTTCCTAAGTTGCAGAAACTAAAGAAATATTAATTCATAAACAAAAGTGGACAAAAAGAAAATCTACCATATTTTATGAGATAGCACAACAATTTGCCACTCAAGTTTATTTGTCCATCCAAGTGAAATATTCCAGCACATCCAAATAAATCACAGTAATTTGTCGAATCTACCCCATCCCTACCCAACACGAAACCCGTAGTCCGCGGTTGAGGCGCGACGGCCGCACCCGTGTCACTTCCGCTAAAAAACATTCCGCAGTACTCTAAAAACTACTGCATTTCCAACAACTAACTGTTAAAAAGCGAAAAAGGTTTAAAATAAAAAAAATGCGCCTGACATAAATTATTAGCAAGTGAACATCACGCGTATTTGAAGTGTTTACCACGTCAGGAGCTTCGCGGTTTTAACACATGTGGCAGAAGGGAATAAGGTTCGATACTGCGTGGCATAAGCCCGGGTAGTCCAGTGTATCAAAGGTCTTTGTGTGCCGGAATGACACGGTGAGTCAATTTGTACCATACTTGCTTTTTATTACTGTGTTTGTCAAGAAATATTTAGTAATTTTATTGATTTTATACAAAAATATATTTTGACGTTTGTAGTCAACTTTTATAGATTGTAACATCAAAGTTCCAATAGTCATGCTTCTGAAGATTCAAAAACATTTGATGCTTTTCTTTTATTGTACTTTCATAAATCTTTTGGCTATTTCTTTATCTTGAAATATATGTGTCAATATTTGTAACTAACTTTTATAGAGTTGTAACATTAAAGTATTAAAGTTTCAGTAGTTATATATTTAAAGATTCAAAAATATTTGATGCTTTTCTATCTTCTACTTTCAAATGTTTTTTGGTTATGGTAATAGTTACTGGAAATCCGTTTTAAATTACCATTCATCTATAATAGAAACTCTATATTATCTAAACACATTTTTGTAAAAAGCTTTTATTACATCCAATAGAACGCTTCCTAAACAAAATATATCATGATTAATAGTGTACTTAAATTGTTACTTAAATATATGTATACAATGGTAAGTATGGTGGTGAAATACCCCTTGTAACAATTTTTATTTAATAAATTAATTAAATATTTCGCACAAATAATATTTCTTGTTAGTAAATTGGTAAAATATAACGATCAACAAATGGTCACTTAGATTATTTCATTTCAATTTTCGTTTTATGTGTGTATACATGCTAATGCAAGCGACAGTATAAAATAATTATATCGTACCTACTGATTTATAATCTTTCAATCAGTCGTTTGCAGAGTGCAATGCAGTCGAAGTATAAAGACGTCATCGAGGTTATTTCCGCAGTAATAATGCGGCGGTTTGATATTTTTCTGGCTAACACGTTTTATGTATATAGGGCGTTCCACGGCTATGGGACACAGAAGGAAAGTACGATAAGAATCTACTAACAACACAATATATTCTACATAAAATTACAACTCAGCTAGGGGAGAGATTTTTACGTATTCATATAAAACAATTTTAAATCGCTTAAAAACAAACCAAATGGTTTTACGACCAGAAACGTGTAATGGAACATCACTCTCCTTAAAAAATCCCACGGCTATGCGACACGGAGGGAAAGTATTTTTAATTTTTAATATAGTAGATAATTATAATTAATTTTGCCTGATGGAGACATTATTTTATTTTAAAAATTACTACTGTAATTCAAAGTACATATTATGTTACTTAAAACGAATTAATTCTTATAATATTGAACCGTATTGTCAGCTACATGAAAGCACACGTGTTTTTTTTTCTTTTTTGGTAGGTTCGGTTCACAAATGTGGCAAGCAACTTTTTGAAAGTTTTGGAATGCAGCAATACTAACGTGACAATTACTTGTTTTCCTGGACGCCCCTGTAAATTTATTATCGTTTTAAAACGTAAAACACAAAGTTAAATGTTTATGATTACAAAATGTTTAATGATTAAATAATTAAAAAAAAACTAAAAATGTGTAATGATTAAAAATTTTAAAATAATATGTATTGTCACGTGTGTCCTATTTTGTCAAACCGGGACATTTTTAAGTATTTTGGGGACAGTGAGACACGAAGCTTAAAAGCGGGACTGCCCGGGAGCGCGATAAGTATAAGTTTTAAGTACTTTTAAAAATAATATAGTCTCCATGAAACACAATATCTTATGTACATATTCAAAGTATTTTCTTCTCGTGTCTCATAGCCGTGGGACTCGCTGTATATGCACCAACTTTAGGAATCCGCGAAATTACTTACTATGACGTGATTTTTTAAGGATAATAATGTCATCATCTAATGGGACACCATTAGATGTTTCTGATCGTAAAACCGATTATTTGGTTTCTTTTTATGCGCTTTAAAATAATGTATAAATAGAACGACCAAATGAAATGAATTACGACTAGCTGAGTAGTATCATTATGTAGAATATGACATGTGTTGTTGTGTTGATTACTCTTTTTTTAAAATAAAATAATGTTTCCATGAACTAATATAAATTCTATTTACAATATTTAACGTACTGTCCCTCTGTAACGCTTAGCCGTTGGTCACCCAGTATATAATATGTATAACTATGTTAAGATCATAATCATTATGAATTGTCTTTATCCATGTGTCATTTAGTTCATTACAAATAGTGAGTAGAACTAAACCTTTTATTATTAAAAAAAACTTTTTATGATATTTAACCAAATCCCTTCATATACTGAGTCGATTAGCACTAAAAAATTAGATTAATTTTATTTACTTTTATGGACAGCTAACGCTTGACCAAAATTGACTATGTCAGAATTGTTTTCCTAAAAAGAGACTTAATGGTTCCTAAGACAGTTTCCTTGTATCTTCTATGGTTTGGATTTCTCCAAATTGTCCCATTTAAAACACTGTATTAATATAATAATGTATAAAATATTAGTGCCAGTACTAATAAGACAATGAACACATGAACAAATTAATATTAAGAGATATTTTGCCGATGGACTATTATTTCTTTATTGTTATATCACGATATTATGGTAAATTAAAATTGCTTATTAGTCTAATAAAAAGACTAGATTGTAATTAGTTATAACATTTCTTTACTTTCTAACAAACAAAAAATAAAAAAAGTGTCATTACGATGACGACAGTTAGGTTTTAACCACGATTTAAGTGGTTTTCATAAGGTTTTAGTAAATGGAGTAGATAACTTTTTTGATTCAGCGACGCCTTTATTTATTCTCCGAGACATTTACAAAATGTCTTCATGGGCACTTTTCCTTTATCTTTAGTATTAATATTTTTTATGACTAATAATTTTGGCGACTTTGGTGGCCCAGTGCCGTTAGATGCTTAGGTTTCGGGACAGATTATGGGTAGGACAAATCTCGGAAACGAATTTTTCTAAATTGTTCTGGTTCTGAGTGTCTGGATAGTGAGTGCTCTAAGAGTTAACTTTGATGCTCTTATGCTAAATAAATCATTCAACCCTTTTAGACGTGATCTGAAAATAAGTACACTTTGTACAAACATAGTGTACCCAATAGTAACCTATGCATATTACTACTGTTTGGTATAAGGAATATCAACTTTGATTACAAAACTACGCCGAACTTTTTTTAATCTAAATATTTCAACACTATACAATACTTCACAAATGCACCTAAGACACTAACAGTTAGTGTTGTTGCCATTTGACTAGTAACTAGTTACTAGTCAAATGGCAAACTCCTTACTTAACTAACGGAAAACACTAAAAATTATTTTTTAAACTACCCTCAATCAACGTTAGATTTTATTTTCCTGAAGTGTTCCTTTAAAAGTGACCTAGTAACCAGTGGGTTAAGGGTACTAGTTGTTGTCAAGCCTATATAGCATGATGTAACGGGCTGGTGTCCGCAAATCAATGTCCAGGTACAATTTCGCGTTTGGTGGGCGCAGGGTCGTACACGTGTCACGCAAGCTCTTCCGAAAACCGCAGCAACCTTTTAGGTTTCTTGAAGACTTCGGAGAGCGACTTCGGCACTCCAACATATTTGAAGGCCCTGTAGTTAGCCACGTAGGTGCATTGCAGTAGGGTGCTCCATTAGCTCATCCCACCCATCCCCTTTTATCATCGTACGTCCAGACTTACGGCGGGATATCATCTTTACTTGGTCGATATTCCTTTCAGGCGTACTAACAGCTTTTTATCATCTTTTATTATGCGCACGGCCCAGGAATGGAATGCCCTGCCTGCGACTGTGTTTCCGAGCACATGCATTCTGAATATCTTAAGGTGCGACTGAATAAGCATATTCTGGGTTAGCTCGTTCCATCGTAGATTCTATCTTTGCTCCAGAGCTAGATATTGGTCAAGAATAAGTCCATTTAATAAAAAAACAAAATTATGCACGGCCGTTTTCTCTCCCTACATGTATGCTCTATATAGAGAGTTGTCCGTGATAATTAGATTGAAAAGTTGTTTATTATATGGACAATGACCCGTTACAGCGGCAATTAGAATGTGCAGCTTTTTACTTTTGAGCTTAAGAAATTTACGAGATAGAGGCGTTGCCAGCCTAGTAATGTATTTTAAATTGATGGACCTCTGGCAAGAAAATTCTACTTTTCAGAAAGTCCCAAAATCGATGAATGTTAATTAAAGAACGGCTTTGCGAGTCCGGTTGGTTGGAAGAATTTATTAATTATGTTTTAAATTGACCTTGACATTCAAAATATTTTTATTTCATAAAGATCACTTTAGTCTTAAAACCAAATTAAGTAAATTTAAGTCAAATTTATTAAACAACATTGCTTATGAATGTAAGACAGCTTCTTCTGAAAAGAATAACAGAAAACCTCTATGATTTGTTCTTTGTAAACCTGCGAGGGCTTGTTATGCTCTTGGCTGTACCTCGTTTCAGGACTGCAAATAGTGTATTTTGTGTGGAGGTTGGGAGGAAGAAGATTGAAAATTGAAAATTAATAATTTAAAAATGAAATCAAATTTTTTTTTGTTGGATTGCGAGTGGCGTCTCTATCCTAGAGGGTCCTGGCAGAATACCAGCGTCGCGGGCAGCCGCGTCATTTATGCTGAGCCAGCGCCTTTTTCACTGCCATGACTTCCAAGCGTAATATTAGTAGATAAGAATATCATTATTGTTATATATAAGTTAAGGCCTATATCATGTATCTGATGTCATGGTGGTGAATAAAGCTTTTACCTATCTATCTATCTATAAATTTCAATTTAAATTTCGCACATAAATTCCGAGAAACTCAGAGGTGCGAGCCCGGATTCGAACCTACGACCTTCTGCTTGAGAGGCAGTAGGTCAAACCATTAGGCTACCACGGCTATATATATTTACTTAATTACGACAATTTATTTAATTATTTAATGACGTCCCCGTGATCGAGTGGCTTCCATACCGGTTTTCATGGTGTCGCCATTTCAGAGATCTCGGGTTCGTACCCCGGCCGGGTCAGTGTAGAAAACTAACTTTTCTATATTGTCTCAGGTCTGGGTGTTT